ATTTATTGATTCCCATATGTTGAATCATCCCTGCATCCCTGAGATGAATTCTACTGGGTCATAGTGTATAATTTTCTCAATAATTTGCTGCATTCTGTTTGCCAGTATCTTACTGAAGATTTCTGCATCTGTGTCCATTAGAGAGATTGGCCTGTAGTTCTCTTTTTTGGTTGGGTCCTTCTCTGGTTTTGGTGTCAGGGTAATGTTTGCTTCCAGGAATGAATTTGGGAGTATTGTTTCCCTTTCTATTTCATTAAAAAGTTTGAGAAGTAGTGGCATTAGGTCTTCTCTAAATTTCTTGTAGAACTCAGCCATGAATCCATCAGGACCTGAACTTTTCTTTGTTGGCAGGTTTTTAATTACATGCTCAATTTCATTGATTGATATTGGTTTATTTAGAATTTTGATACCTTCTTGGTTGAGCTTTGGTAAATGAAATGTATCTAGGAAAATATCCGTTTCTCTTTTTTTGGTATCAGGAATCCACCTCGGGACCTTGAGCTTGCCAAGTGGGTGCTTGTGCCGCTGAGCTATATCCCCAGTCGGAGAATATCCATTTCTTCTGTGTTTTCTGTCTTACTACAATACAGGTTCTCAAAGTTGGTATTAATGATCTTCTAGATTTCTGCAGGTGTAATTTCACTCAAATTGCATGGATTTGAGCCTTTTCTTTCCCCTTTTTTGATAAGGTTGGTTAAGGGTTTGTCAATTTTATGTCATCAAAGAACCCACTCTTTGATTCCTTGATTCTTTGTATTGTTTTCTTAGTCTCTGTTGCATTAATTCCTTTTCTAGTCTTTATAATTTCCTCCTTCTTACAAGCTTTGTGCTTGATTGGCGCTTCTTTTACTAGAAGCTTGAGGTTCAACGTTATTTGACCTGACTCTCTTTTTCTGATATGAGAATTTACTGCCATAAATTTCCCTTGTTGTGTTGGCGTTATGGTTTAATTGTAGAAACTGTCACGTTCCTTCTTTTAATTACATCTGTGACCCATTGGTATTATTTATTTCCATGTGTTTATGAAATTCTTGTGGTTTGTTTTGCCATTGATTTCCAATTTCATTGTATTATGGACTGATAAGATGCATAGAATGATTTCAGTTTCTTTGTATTTGTTTAAGCGTGTTCTGTGAGCAACTATGTGATCTGTTTTGGAGAATGTCCCCTGTGCAACTGAGAAGAATGTGTATTCTGATGTTGTAGGGTGGAATACTCTGTAGACATGCATTAAATCCATTTGTTCAGAAGTTTGGTTCATTTCTGATATTTTTTTGTGTGGATATTTTGATGTATTTGTGACAGTGGGGTATTGAAGTCCCCCATTATAATTGTATTAGTGCTTCTTTGATTTTTCATGTCCATTAATGTTTGTTTTATATAGTTGGGTGTGCTGGTATTTGGTACTTACATATTTATGATTGTTATCTCTTCCTCTTCATTCTTTACATAGATGTAGTGACCTTCTTTGTCTGTCTTAAATAGTTTTGACTTGAAATCCACTTTGTCTGCAAATAGAGTAGCTACCCCTGTTTTTTTCTGGGTTGCTGTTGCATGGAGTATTTTTTCCCTCCTTTGGCTTTTAGTCTGTGAATTTCTTTTTGAATTAAGCATGTTTCTTGTATACAGCATATTGTTGGATCTTGGTTTTTTTTTTTTT